GCGAAACCTCCTGTGCACATCGGTGCTGCGCTGCCTTTCACAACTTAAAATACTGCTTCCCGGTCCAAGTCCAAGCCCTGGCGGCCGTTTTACCCTTTCGGAATGGTTTGAGTGAGAGATCTTCAGTTAACCTCTTCTGTAAACCTGAACTGGTCACTTCCCACTGGGTCGACTAGAGTGGAAGAGAAGCCAGTCTGAAATCCCCTGCTAGTGCTTTTGTCAACAGAGGCCTTTGGCCTTAACCTGCAACATGCTGGCGTCCTTTGCCAATACTAAACATCACAGCTTCCTCTACCCGCTCTGCCTTGTGTGGCAGCGCTGGCCATTTTGCTAGTTAACGCCCTGAATGTGGACTGCCAGTCCAGGGGCTCCCTGAAGCGGGGATTCTAGTGTCTTCGTTACCTATGTAATGTAGATCTGAATATTTAACATTAAAGAATGTGTGGAGATTGTTTGAGGGGACGGAATGAATGAGCTAACCCGAGAATCCACATCGTTTACATTCTCTGCTTCCCCTGCCCGCGCTTTGCCCACTGAGCCCCGACTCCTGGTCCAGCGTCCTCATCCGGTTTCCTCCTCCCCACCTTCGCCCACGCTGTCACCCCAACACTGGCCTAGACATTGCTACTGAGTTTTTAGACTGATGCAAATAAGAAGGATGAGTTTGCTTCAACTGGCAATGAACTTCAATGGGAAGCCCATGGTCATCTATTTAAACAAGAAAGAGTCTGATAAGATCAAATCCACTTTATTGGATGATTTTTTAGCAGCGCGGTGATGTTTTTTTAATAAGAAGACTGACAAATCCTACACAGGGAGAAAGATTTGACATAGCAGTTTAAGGAGATGTCATTAGCAAAAACCAAGCTGAGCAGACCTGGCCCCTTCCTGAAGCGATCAGTCCCTTCTAATCTCCTGTCTTTCTCTAGGAATCAGAGAAAGATGTTTTCCAGTTGTCTTGCCACCAGGAACCTGCTGGTAGATGGGTTCCCGGCAGAGAAGCTGACACTCCACAGCACAGCCTGGCGCTCAACCCGCTGATCCGAAGGGGCGGGGCATCCTTGTTCCCGCTGCACGAGCTCTGAGAGGCCCCAGACCGGATGTGGGTGTTTAGCAGGATGATGGCCCATCTGTGTTTGTTTGGGAGGCGCTTGGCACCTGTCATTATCTGGGTGGCTTTGAGCAAACCAGTTAGCCTCTCTGAACCCCAGTTGTCTCAGTGGTAGCAAGGGGTCTCTAAGGGCTTCTCTGCAGTGTTTTGGGAATTAAAGGCAGTCACCCAGGTGTGAATGCCCAGTCCACTGCTGGGCACATAGAAGTGCTGCGTAACCTGCGTGTGTGCAGAGAGGTATTTAGAGCATATTCTTAAAAGAGAGCAGGACAACTCTTTTTGTTTGGGGCGACATCAATACATAAAAATTCAAGTTTCTATGGCTCCCGACGACTCCCAGACACAAGACCTGCCGGAAGACGGCGTGGGAGAGTAAAGCTACAGATCAGGAGAGGGAGGGCTCTCCCCGGACAGATAAGGGCTCCTTCTCTTCCATCAAGGTCAACAGCTGCAGCCACGATCTCAAGGCAGAAGAATGAAATGACAAGAAGTGGGCTCTGATTGCAGCCAGGGCGGCATCTGAATCATGGGCAATGCCCTTTCTACCTGGCCTGGGAACAGGGTCCTCTGGGTAAAAGTGTCAACTCTTATCAGCTGCCAGATTGACGGGGCTGGGGGAGGAGAGCTAGGGGAACTTACCTTCCTCGGGCTTTTCCTTTACAGAACGTTTGTTCTCAGAGAGGAAGGACCTAGACGCTAAGGCAGGAGTCAGCTCCCAGCGCTTTCGGGGTCTGAGCCCGGAGAGGACGCTTGGGATCTGGGAGGTGCCGAGGCCTGTCGGAACTGCCGGCGGCGCCGCCTCACAGCCTGGCCCAGCTCTCCGTGGCCTGACGGCAGCAACAGGTGGGCTCTGAGCCACACAACTCAGGGCTGTGGCCCACAGGGACGGGTTTGGGGGTGCAACATTTTTAAAGCGACTCACTGAAGCTCTGGCCAGCGTCAGACCTCCCATTGAGTAAGTCCACGTATATACAAGGACTTCCATAAAATGATCTGAAGAACTTCTCAAGCTTTAGTAGGATCAGCCGGCCACAGAGGAGGGTTTCCTAGGCACGTGAATGGCGGTCTTGCTTCTGTGTTTCCGAGAGGGAAAGCAGCTAATACGCACACTCGGATTAGTGTGTGACTAATCCCCGCACACGTGGGCTCTCTGGTCTATTGGGAGCTTTAGAGGAGGGCTGCATTTCTCCCTTCCCCTTCTGTATGTAACCTTTCCAGCTTCTGTGGTGGGCAGAGAGCCGTGATTTGAGTTCGTGGAGGCCACCGCAGAGTCAGAGAACTGGGAAGCATCTCGCTTGGCCGGTTGGAGATGTTTCAAATCATAAACTGAGGAGGCAGGTGAGAAACAGGCCCCAGTCCAGCTGCAAGACTCCTTTCACCTGTGGTTGCCTGTCCTTGATCAGCCGTCTCCCCGAGGGCTGGAGCCTGCAGGCCCTGAGGGCGGTGACTGAGGGAGGCTGCAGATCTGGCGGGGGGCAAGGGGGCAGGGGGGCAGGAGGGCAAGGGGGCAAGGGGGCAAGGGGGCAAGGAAAGAGTCCTGCTGCCTAAGCCCCGGATCTGGTGGGCCCGGGTCAGGACTGGTGCGGAGAGTTCCGCTGCAGCTCCTCTCACCCCCAGGCCTCCGATCTTAGTAGTGGGCTCCCCGCCCTAGACTCCTAACTGCACGCCATTCCCACTGCGGGGCTGCAAGCCGCCTGCTTCCCTTTCCCACTGGGGGCAGGGTTCCAGCCATTGCAAGACCTGCTTCACCCTGGAAGGGTGCCTGGAACCCTGACTCAGTGCTATACCTCTGGAGAAGACCCCCACTCGCTCACTGCTTCCCTGTGCCCACCCCTCAAGATCTAGCCCATGTGCCCAAGCACAGGGATTACCCTGCCCTGAGGGTGGCAGCTGCCACCTCCCCTCCTCACCTGCCCCAGGAGCTAGAAGCCGCAGCCCGAGGGGACCAGGGCCTGAGATCCAAATGCTATTCCCTTTGCTCTGCCTTAGCTTCCTGCCTCACTACAGCTCTGTTCTCACGTCCGGGGAAGGCGGAAGGCGCTTCCTGTTGGGGGCAGGTGAACACTTCTATTTTCAAAGGACAGCGGAGAGCTGTGAAAGTTGTGGGTGAGGCCTGGCCAGTGTGGCTCAGCTGGTTGGAGCATCATCCTATCAACCAGAAGGATGCAGGTTCAATTCCCAGTCAGGGCACATGCTTGGCTTCAGTCCCCATGCGAGAGACAACCGATGGATATTTCTCTCCCTTTCTCTCCCCTTCCCTTCCCCTTTCTAAAATCAATCACATCCTTGGGTGAGGATTAAAAAAAATTCTGGGTGAGACCTCCCTAATGCTGTGACTGGGGAACATTTGACGTCTCTCTCCAGGTCTAGGCCAGCTAATCACAAGTCCGTCCGCCTCAACAGATACCAGACATGCTCCATCCATCGGCGGGACAATCGGCACTGTCAGTCCGTCCATCCGTCCGTCCTCTTTCGGTGCCATCTACACTGGAAAAGCAAAGCCCTCTGAAGCTGTCAGTTTTAAGGCTCTTCTCTGCCCTTTCCTCTCTTCATGTTCACCCTGTCCTTATTCTCCCATGATTCCCTCCACCAATGTCTGCAAGAGGGGACAGGCGGCCTTCTCTTCCCCTTCCCTGGGTATCGTCTCTCTCTCCCAGCCCAGCCCAGCCTCCTTCCCAGACCCCTGGCGGTGGGAGGGGTGGTGCAGGGGCTGCTGGGCACCAGCTGAGAGTTGGTCCGGCCTGGGCTTGAAGGGGCACTGCCTCCGTGGTCACCTCTCCTTTTTGCCCCCCAGCCCCTAATTCGCTGGTTAACAAAGATGTGTCCAGCCCTGATGCCAGAAGCCTCAGCAACAATTGGTGCTGAGGCTTATTTTAAAATTCTAGTCACTTGCCTTTCTCTCTGTTTTTCCTCCCTCTTGCCCTTCCTGTTTCCACACTGCCTGGTGCATCTTGTCCTCTGAAACTCAGCCCTCTCTCTCCCTGGACCTGCCACAGGCTCTCTGGGATGTTGAAAGAATGTCACAGTGAAGATTAGAAGCACTTGGAGATTCTTGGGCTGAAAGTACAGAAAAGAATCGGCTTCTGGGGTTCCCCCTTCAGTAGGGGGCGCAGGGCACAGGGTGACTGGGGATGGCCTGGCAGTGGCACATGCTCAGAAATGCTCTGTGGCCCACGCCACCTTTGATAGTCACTAAGCAGGTTAGTTGTCCAGTGGGCTACGTTGGGCAGATAGAGCCCAACAGAGGATGAGCACACACCCTTTGCAGGCAGCCAGAGAGATTGCCCAGGGCCTTGTCCTCTGCAGCCCCCACGGTGACACATTTGGTCTTGCCCGCATGGCTTGGCACAAGCCTAACCTAGGATGTCCAGGACGTGAGTCCAGGATGGGCGTTCGAGCCTCCCAGAGGGCAGAATCTCTCCTCCTCCAATCCACGACGAGCCTTAGGCTGGTAGGAATGAAGGGGAGGGGCGACCGTCCTCTCTAGGTGTCAGCCCCCCTGGGGGTGCCCCCAGCTGGTCTGTGAGACCTGAGAGGGGAGGTGATTTGGGGCCGGTTGATAAGGAGAGGTGTGTGAAGACAGAGGCCACCCTGTAACTTGCACTGTGGGGAGACCATCCTGGCCTGGCCCTTAGCCAGCGCCGACAGAGGCTGGGAGAGAAGGGGCAGGGTTGCCGCGGGGGCCCAGGCAACAGGCTGTCTGTTGGGAGAAGCCCTGAGCTGGGAGGTTCTGGGACTGGATATACTATTCCCCACCCCCGCAGCGTCCTGATGGCTCCTGGGCCGCTCCACACCACACTGGGCTGGTTTACCCCTCCCTGACCCCCCGCTCTGTAGCATCGGAACTCACAGAAACCAGCGAAGGGAGGTCGTGGGCAGAGGGCAGCCCTTACACCAAGCCCCTGGTCTCCCGGGACCCATCCAGCCCCTCGGGCTCATCCTCTCCATCCTGTTCAGCCTCCAACTCTGCCTCCAACTCTGCTTTAGAGAAGCTTTCTGGCAGGGGGGTGCTGGGGAGGAACTGGAAGAGCCGGCCTTCCTGCTTCATTTCTGCCAGCTCCTTGGCACAGCAGCTGGGAGTGTTGGTCTCGTAGGTGTCATGGAAGGTGTTGTAGTCCACCTCATAGAAGCCTTTTTCCAAGGTGAGGACTGGTGTGAACCGGTGGCCCCAGAGCACCTCTGTATCCATGTAGGAGCTCCGTGCTTGGCAAGTCATGCCTGGGGGGACGAGCGTACATGTATTAGGACTGGTCGCAGCCATCCATCCATCCATCCATCCATCCATCCAACCATACATCCATCCAACCCATCTGATCCTTCATCACACATTTGCTAAACATCTACTTTGTGCTAAGCGTGATGGTGCTATAAAGCTAAATAAGAAACGGTCCTTGCCCTGAAGGAGCTCAAGGTGTGGTGGAGGCAGAAAGTAAGAAATCAAATGCAAGATTCTGGCATAGGTTCCTAGAGACTGGAGTGGGTAATCCCAGAATAGCCAGAACTAGGGACATGGTTCCAGAAAAAAGCATTAAGGTCCAAAGACAGACAAGAAAAGAGGCAGGAAAAGAGTTTGAACAAAGATAAATTCAGAGTGAGTGAACACAGAGAAGGTGATAGGCATTTAGAACACATGTGGATTACTTTGGATAGACACGTATGGGCAGAAAATTTTTCTTCTTTCCCTTCCCTCCCTGCCTTTCTCTCTCTCTCTCTCTCTCTCTCTCTCTCTCTCTCTCCCCCCCTCACACACACACACACACACACACACACACGCGCGCGCGCACATCTTGGCTCCTTGTCTTGGGCATGCCCCGGTGCCTGGCTCCCCATCCACTCAGCCCTGGCATGCCTGTTTATTTTTAGGTGTTGCTTTCTCTCCAGAGAGGGAGGGCAGCTTTGTTTACGGCTGAAGAAGCCTCTGTGCTTAGGGTAGCAAGAAAACAGCTTTCTGGTATTTAATCTCCTGGCCAAGGAAGGTGTGAGCAAGGGCTCCTTGGGAACTGAAGGAGAAGCCTGCTCCTGCTTTGGGCTTTCTCATGCAAACCTGTCAGGTCGGCTGCTTCGCACGACTCCGTGTTCCATGCCGGGCAACCCCAGGGCACACCGCGCACCGCAGGCTCCTAGCCCGCTCTCTGTCCTGGGGGCGGGGGTGGGGGCTGCCTGGGTCAGACTGGCACTTCCTCCCCTCGTTGCCCAACCCCCAGCATCAGCAGAGTTGTGGGCGCCCAAGCTGGGTCCCCTAGAAGCTGCAGGTCAGAGGTCTGCAGGTTCTAGGTCTCAAGACAGACAGCCAGACAGGACCTCCATGGGAGCCAGGGCCCATGCCTCTGGGGCTCTTCCTGCTCTTCTCTGTCCCCCTTCCTGGGTGGACTGTGGGTGACCCTTCAGCTAGAGATCCCACCTGTACCCTTGGCAGTCATCTTCCAATGCATTTGGAAAGGACAGACGTCCCCTGAGTTGCCAGGCACCATGCTTTAGACATGACTTCATTTAGATGTTCAACCCCCCAGCCACCCTGCGAGACTAATAGCCTCATTTTTTGACAACTCACAGCAGGTCTGGCTGAGCTGTGCTGGTCAGACCTGGGCCTGAACCCACAGCCCGTGGCCTCCACACGTGTGGCGATCAAACCATTCAAGTCACTGAGGTCAGGACAGATGTGAGGGGACGGTCTACTTCCTTTATCTCCTTGGTCTCCCTGCAGTCCCAAGGACAGCAGCAAGGGCGACCCAAGTCACTGCAGGGGAGGCGGTCAAGCAGAGAGAGCAAGTCAACTGCAGGCCACCAGCTTTGAAGATGAGAGGAAGGAATCCAGCTAGGCAGGCTCAAAACCCACTGCCCCTGCTTCAGGGGGCAGCGAGGGTGGCCGGGAGAGTGGGAACGCAATGCCTTCCTATGTGTCCCCATGTGTCTGATCTGACCCCTCATTTTGGCCTTGGAGTTGAGCCCTTCCTCTAGAAACTCAGCCGCGTCCTGACCCTGAGCCTGGATCAAGGGCAGCGTGACCTCTGAGCCCCCAGCCCTGCTGGAGGAGGCCTCCAGCATCCCCGCTGTCCTCGGCCCCAGGCGCTCCCGCGGCTGCCAGCGTGTGCTGCCTGCCGGCCAGGCTCCTTTCAGTCCGGCAGGTGGCCAACGCCTGGCCGCCCCAGGCCCCGGAACCCACTTGCATCGCCAGCCAGGCCCCGCGGGCTGCACGTGGGAAGGCCTGTGGCTGCCCCCGGCTGCTCTCCCACCTGGCAACCACTTTCTGAAAGGCGAGGAAGCCTCCTTTGGCCGCCTTTGTGACGGGTCCCTAACACTTAGGGGGCAGCATGGTGTGGCGGACTGAAGCTCTAGATTTATAAATCTTAAAAGTGAAAGGCCTGGCTGTGACCACTTCCTGTCTGCACGAGCTGTCCCCTGCAGGTGCTGCGCCTGTGAAAAGGGATCGAAACCGGCCCTGCGGTGTTGTTGCAAAACTTAGAAAAATTTTTCTACGAGTGCTCAATCTACTCAGTGGAAAAAAAAAAGAGAATGGGGACAAAAGGAAGGGTGGGAATAAGAGGCACAGAGCAGGGTTTGCTGGGGGCTCCTCGCCCCAGGAGGTCTGGCCAGTGGCGGGGGTGGGGACTTGGGCTCTTCAGGCCTGGGGCTCCCGGGGGCTCTGCCATGACGGAAGGGTGGTGGTCAGATGCCTGTCAGAGCCCAGAGCTGGGCAGGCAGGGCCGGGCTGGCTGTGAAGGGGGCACGGTGTGGCCATGCCTGGGTGTGGGTACACTTTTCTGCACATCCCTCGTCCGCTGAGCTGGAAGCTGGGGGACAGGCTGCTGGGGGTGGGGGGCCGTGGGCTAGAAGAGCCCCTCCTACAGGCCTGGGATATAGGCGTCTCTTCAAAAAGCAGCTTCTGGGACTTGGGGAGTCCTTGAGTCTGGGAAATGCTGCTCGCTCTCCTCTGCTCATGAAGCAACTCACACCATGTAAAGACACCGTCAAGTCATCCTGGTAAGAACTAGGTCCCCTTTGTTTAACCCCATGGTTCCTGAAGTTACTTGACCACACACAGCTTTTCTTGGGCCAACACCTGCTCCAGGATGGGAGGGGGCGAGCGGTATGGCCTGTTGGAAACGAGTGACAGTTTTGGGATCCCTGCCTAGATGTGCACCCTGGCCCTCCAACTTAGTGGCACTTCTCTGGGACAATTAACTTGCCCGTCTGTGTCCCTGTTTCTCAATCTGCAATGTGAGAAACGCTCTGTCATAGGGGTGTGGGAGGGCACAGGTGAGATCTTACATGCTTAACGTTTAGAACCGCGCCTGGAAGTTGGGCGGGTTCCGTGAACAGTGGCTGTTGTTATTGGTCTGTTCTGAGCAACAATACTCCTCATGTCACAGTTCACGACCGGGCTGGGTGACTGCGTCATCTCCAGGTTCTCAGGCACAGACTTCCATCTCCGGGAATCCCAGGGGCCTGAGCTCCTGGGCCTGGTCAGGGCTGAGGAAGAGGAAGTGTCTTACCTGTGGCCTCCACCATGCCTTCTAGAATGACCACGATTTCAAACTCCTCTTGATGCAGCTGAGCCCGAGACATCTCCCAGAAAGGGCTCTTCTCATTGATCTCGTGGGAGATGATGAGGGGCGACACCAGGAAAAGACGGTCGTCCCCAGTGTCAAAGCCCACGTTAATGTCAATCTGGTTCAAGGGGATGAATTCCCCTTCTTTGGTCTGCCGGGACTTGATGAGCTTGGCGCGGATGGAGGCCTCCACGATGTGGGAGTTCCTAAGGTCCCCCACGCGGAACATCAGGCAGAGCTTCTCGTCCCGCATGGAGATGACCGCGTGGTTGGAAAACATGAGGGTCTCCGCTCTCTTCTTTGGCTGACTGATCTTGACAAACATGCACCCCACCATGAAGGCATTGACGATGGAGCCCAGGATGGCCTGGACCATGAGGAGGACGATCCCCTCCGGACACTTCTCCGTGATCACGCGGAAGCCGTACCCGATGGTGGTCTCGGTCTCAATGGAGAACAGGAAAGCAGACACGAAGCCGCTGAGGTTTTCCACACAGGGAATCCACTCTTTGTCGCCCACATGGTCCAGGTCACCCCGGATATAGGCGATGAGCCACCAGAGGAAGCCAAAGGACAGCCACGTGATGGTGTAGACCATTGTGAACACCAGCAGGTTGAAGCGCCACTTGAGGTCCACCAGCGTGGTGAAGAGGTCGCTCAGGTACCGGTAGGTTTCCTGCACGTTGCCGTGGTGCACGTTGCACTTGCCGCTCTTCTCCATGTAGCGCTGGCGCGGCTTCTTGCCTTCCGCCAGCAGGCGGGTGCGGTCTGTGGCGAGGGGCAGGTCATCACGAGCCTGTTTGGGGATCTTCCTCGGGTCCCTGGGAGTGACGCCAATCTCCATGTTCTGGTTCATAGCATTTCGCGAGTCGCCAGCCATGGCGGGGATACCTGAGTTAAAAGAGACGTCGTCAGTAAAGCGGGCCTTTCTGATTGCCAGAAACGCAAGGCTTCAAGATCACTCCGCCTCTGGGCTCTCCGAGGCCTCTCGGCTAGTGCCCAGTAGACCGTGTTCAATGTGGTGAAAAAAATCTGGGAGCGATTTTAAAAACAACAATTGCAACAAGTTATTAAATTCTTACCATAGTCCACGTATTATATGTGGAGTGTCACTTGTACCCACCACAGCAACCCACCGGAGCAATAAGAGCTTGTCATCTCCATCATATAAAGACTGTATGGTTTGCTTATGCATCATGTTCATTTCCGATGGCCTCTTTCCCTGCATTGGAATGTAAGCTCCACAAGGGCACAATTGTGTCTGTTTTGTTCCCGGTGCCCAGGTCATAGCCTGGCGTATTCTATGTACTGAACACGTGCTTATTGAATCAATGGGATAAATGAATGAGAAAACACCTCACAGAGGTTAAGTGACACCTGGGACACCCAACAAGTAAGTGGCAGAGTTAATATTTAGATTCTCAGTCATCGGGCCCAAAACTGTGCCCTTGCCTCTCTGTCTCCCGGTCTCCCTTCCTTTTATCTGAGATCTCAGCAGCACCCAGGAGGGAAAAAAGGCAGCAGGTGTCTGATTCTCCGTGTGGTCACTCTTACTGCCTGAGTGGGGAGCCTGCAGTTGTCTGAGCGCTTACAAATACGACAAATTGCTGTGCAGACCCACCATTAAAAACTTTGTTACAGTAATTCTTCGCCCTCCAGGTAATTGAGGCAGGCAAGTTATTAATGCCCTAAGATTTTCCAAAGGCCGTGAACTTATATGTGGAATTGAAAAAGAAAACTAATCTCATAGGAACAGAGAGGAGACTGGCGGCTGCCAGAGGCAGGGGGATGCATGAAGTGGGTGGAGGGTTCAAAGGTGCAAACTTCAGTGGTGAGTCCCGAGGACGCCGGGTACAGCATGCCGGCTGCAGTTAACAACGCTGCATTGTATACTTGAGAGTCGCTAAGAGAATAGATCTGAAAAGTTCTCAGCACAAGAAAAAAATATTGTAACTCTGCGTGGTGAAGAATGCTACCTAGACTGACTGACTGTGGCAATCATTTTGTAATATATATGTGTATCAAACCATTATATTGTACACCTAAAACTAATACAATGATATATGTTCATTTTATATAAATAAATTATACATTTGTAAAAGGCTGTAAGGTGTTTCTGGAGTAAATGCTGCATTTTAAAGAAACACCCAGAAACCTGTCGCACTCGGTCTGTTTTTCTGATAATCTGCTCCCACCTGGTTAAGACACTTTAAGGCACTAATGAAGCTGGGAGGCAGCATGAGAATCTCTGCAGCTGGGAATAGCAGGTTCCTTTCAGGAAACCCTGCCGACACCCAAGGGCAGCTCCCATCCAGCGTCTGCGACCGTGACGCATGTGGAGAAGGAATCAGAGGAGGCAAAATCAAAGGAAATTGTGTTTTCAATGACATATCGGTGAATGTCACATCCATGTACGTGGACTTCAGTGTTAAGAGTTCCCACACCGCCCCTCCCCAGCGAAAAAAGCCGTAGGTCATGGGGGAGCTCAGGAAAGTCAACAGCAGGTTGAATTTCTGAGCATTTGTGATCTAGGCACTGTGCTAGGAAATGTATATCCATTAGCTCACTTATAATCCTCACAACAAGCTATTAGGCAAGTGCTGTTATTATTTCTCCAATCTTCAGATGAGGAAAATGCTCAGGCAGCGAACAGCTGAGTCAGGTATGGATCTCGATTTCTCAGGCTGCAGCCTGAGAGCTCATGGCACCGCCCTACACAGCCTGCAGAGTGGACATGCATGGCTCGTGCTGAGACCGATGAGCTGCTCCCTCCAGAAGGTTCTATGAACTTCTGATCCTAGGAGAAGTCACTTCTGGGGATACTATCATTCAGTCCTTCTTCATCTTTACAAAAATCTTTTCTTAATTTCCCAGGTTCTCACCTTCCCCAGAAACTGCGTCCCCGACAGAACAATCGGGATGGATGTTTTTTATGCTACCAAGCCAACTGCCTCCCTGGCTGCATGAGAAGGCGTTCGCCCACCACGGAAGGCCAGAGGGGAAGGACGAGCTCGGTGCTGCTTTGCAGGGTCCCAGGCACGATTTCGCTCTGCCTCTGGGGACGGGACCTTTCACTGAAAATGTAACAGGAGATGCCCAGGATCAGCGAGACATGCTGCGAATCCCAAGCCCTGTGTGGGCCCGAGGACCTCAGCTGCGGGACGCGGGGGGCAGCTGCGGGGAGTGCTGCTGGGCTCCCCAAGCCCCCGCGTCAGGCAGGGCAGCACAGTGCCCACAGGAGCCAGGCCATGGCCAGGGCGCCTGGGAAAGCGCGTTCTCTTCCCTCAGCTCTTCTGGGAAAACAGCTTTCTGCTGATTTTCTGCACTGTTTCCCTCTTTATTTTTAAACATGCTTTCCTACATTCTCGTAGGAGAAGGCCTCGTGCAGTCCTGGAAACACAACATGGCTTCCTAGAACCCCTCAGCCCAGAATGGAGAACGTTGGCGTCCAGCAGATGGGAAAAGGAAGTTTACTTCCGATTCGGTGCTGGGATGCGTTCTCCAAGTGGGCTGCAATAGTCTAGAAGCAATTCCTCGCTCAACCCAGATCTGGATTCTTGCTCAGCTTCCTACAAACTTGCCTTGTGATCCAAAGAAACAGTCCCGTCTCTGCCTCAGTTTACTGCTATAAAGTGAGAATACCTTTTTCTGCCTGTCCAGCCCTGGGGGCATTACGGAGGCCCAGGGAAAGAGCGTCTGACTACAAACCTACACATTCATCAACTCTCCTTGAACTGAAATGTAATGCAATAGTCCATTAACCTCATTTTAAAGATGACGAAAGAGGCCTACGCATCTAGGTCAAATGTAGAAAGCACCCCCTCCCCCACCCCCGTGGGCGATTTGCAGGGCAGCCTTGGAGCTAAAAGTCTTGGAAACCCCGCTACCCAGGTTTCTTCAAAGAGCAAGTGAAATGCCCACGTGAGAAATCTTAACCTCCAGTGCTGTGGGCCTGTCAGGGGAAAAGGATATTCAGGGACAAGGGAGATACTTTAGTAAGATTTTCAAGATCCATTCTATTACTTTATGCATCTATTCAACAAGCGTTAGCCGAGGATCTACGGTAGCCCACTCCGCGGAAGCGCTGGGGATAAAGCAGTGAAGCAGGTCCGTGTGGACCCAGCCCTGCGTGGTGAGTGTCCTGGCATCGCTCCGTGAGCCCTGCGGTGAGCTGCCCGTGGAGGGAGAGGCGGCGGGAGGCTGGTGCCCCAGCTGCTCTCCGCGGGGCCCGTGAAAGGCGCCGGCTTGGGCAAATCCTGCTAACCCTCCCCGGTCCCCTCGCTGCGCTTCGTCTTTAATCCTTCCGGTGTCCCTGAATGGGAAGCGGTGCTGAGACAGGATGAAGCTCCTGGAAAACAGAGCTTAGAGTCCAACCAAGTGGTTGAATCTCTTTGATATAAAAAAACACGTGGAGAAGGAATCAGAAGAGGCAAAATCAAAGGAAGTTGTGTTTTCAATGACATTATCGGTGAATGTCACATCCATGTACGTGCACTTCAGTGTTAAGAGTTCCCACGCCGCCCCTCCCCAGCGAAAAAGGCCCTATGTCATGGGGGAGCTCGGGAGAGCCAAGAGTCACGGTCGCAGCCCCTTGATAGGAGCTGCCCTTGGGCATCGGCAGGGTTTCCTAAAAGGAACACTGGGCCGGGAGTCCTGCCTCAGACTCAGTTTCCCTGCTGTGGAGATGGAAATCGCAGACATCCTTAACTGTCTCCTCCTCTTTCTCTTATATATGCTGGGCCCAAGCCTGCACGCCCAGAGACGGGCTATGGGATGAGGTCAGAGGGAGAGTAATGCAGGATATACTCACGTCTCCTACTGAGGTATCTGTATACACTTCTGTACAAATATGGGGGCTGTACGGGGTGTTCAGACATGAAAATGCTCCAGACAGGTTGGTGACTAGGCTGCCCCAATGTCCCCTGACATCCTGCAGGTCAGCCGGGCGTAGTGAAGGTGTTATGAATAGAGAACACACTAGGTATAGGAAGGCTGATTTCTAAGACACTCACAATATATTCCTCCAGACGTGGGGACAAGACACTCACTCGCATCATTGGATTGTTATGGTACAGGTGACTGTAAGAAAGGAAAATTCTCCTCTTCTGGCTTAGAGATGGAGGGGGTCATGGAGCAAAGACAGGTGACCTCAATGAGCTGACAGCAGCGAGCACATGGGGACCTCCGCCCTGCAAGTCCCAAAGAACTAAATTCTGCACCATCCACAGGAGCTTGGAAGAGGCCCCGAGTCCCAGAGGGGAAGAGGGCTGGCCAACCCCTGAATTTAGCCCGTGACACCCTGAGCAGAGAACACAGTTCCGTCCTGCCTGGACTGCGGACTTACAGAGCTGGGAGCTCATAAACAGGCGTTGTTTTAAGCCACTGAGTTGGTGGCCATTTGTGATGACAGAATAAAACGCTAGCGCGGGCCAGAAGGGAGAGGCAGGGCCCAGTCAGGCGAGTCCGGTGTCAGGTCGCCCCGCACCCTGCTTTACCTTGAGCCCGGGACTCTTGGGGAAGTTAATTCTCTAAGACTCGTTACTTTACCTATAAAATGGGGATGATAACGGTGCCAACCCAAGAGGGTTGCTGGGAAGGTTAAAGGCAAGATGCTACGTACAGGGCCTGCCTGGCCGAAGCTCTCTGAAGTGGTAGCTATTCTTCTCGTTTTCCGTCTCGAGGTAGGGTTGGGAGGGGGGAGGACAGGCCCACCCAGGGCTTCGAGCAATTCAGGGACCAGGCAGGAGAACCACCAGACCCCCCAGCGCCCACTGTGAGTGGCACGTTTCCGTGGCTTCATGTCATTTGCCCTAAAGGGTGGGACTGTCTTTCTTTCCCAAACGGGAAACTCGGACAGAGCTTTAATAACTTGCCCGAAGTCACCCAGCAGA